CGATTATGCACATCGTTTTAAAACGACGTCGTTTTGTTTAATGAAAAGAAACGGCACCCATTTTGCGCCGTTCCGCAAAAAGTACCTCTCTATTATTCAGTGTCATTTTGTATAAACTGCAGTTTCAGTTCAACACAACTACAGTTTCATTTAGATATAACTACAGTTTCATTCGACATTTATACACTCAAATATGTGAAAATGTTATTTAATTTTATTTTATATACACTATAGTTTCATTAAAACACAACTACATGATCATTTCAATATAACTACAGCTTCATTGCACAATATACACTCAAATATGTTAAATGTTATTCAGTTTCATTTTATATACACTGCAGTTTCATTTCACCACAACTATAGTATCATTTTGATATAACTGCAGTTTCATTTGATAATATATAAAATAATACGTGAGACAGTGTCTGTTTAGATACACTGTAGTGTCAGTTTAGATACACTGTAATTTCAGTTGGTAATTAACACATCAAAAAATTACGCGCTCCGTTAACAGTAACAACACGTCGTTTCTTTACTTAAAGAAATGGTTCCGTTTTGACCACGGTCCACGATTTAACGACCGTTCAATTACTCTTCCCAACGTAATTTTAGTCAAATAATAAATAATGTATAGTTCATACATGGTTAGTATATATGTATATATATGAAGTATAACTTTTTCAAATATTCAGCAAAAGAAATAAAAAGAAAAGCTAGCTAGTGATAAAGCATGACACACAAATGTACACTTGATTACGTCTAGTACAATTAGAAGGATGCAAATTGTAAAAATTAACCTAGTATTATTATTATGATATGATGATCTTTGCCTAGATTCATGATGCCGGCCAAGATGGAGTGCTTCCTTCTTCTTTTCACATCCCTTTAATTTGCATGCTTGCTTTACCAAACCTTTCTTCCTTCTTCTTTTCACATCCCTAGCTTTAATTTGCATGCTTGCTTTACCAAACCTTTCATGTTAAATTAACTTTCATGTTAAATTATTTAGTCAACTATCTTTTCCACGTTGTTTTTTTTTTTTTTTTTTTTAAAATACTTATAATTCTTTACAAAGTAGTATATGTTCTATACTTTCTCAAACATTTTCAACTCCAAGAATCTATGTCCCTACCACTAGGATAACTGGGATGTGATTGCACTACATGGCAGTTAGCTCCACGTTGTTTTAATTTTTATTATATTGTTGAAGTATTTAATTTATAAAACTATAGAATTCAAATTTGTGAAGTTATAAACCAAAAAATGCGTCAATATGTCATTGGTTGGAACTTCATACCTTCTTACAGGTGGTCTGGAAATTTCTTTACCATAGTTATTTTTTAAAAAAAATTTAGATTTTTAAATTTTCAAATCAATCATGGATGGACAATGTCAAATTTAGTTTCAGATGATCGTTTTAGCGATTTAACATTCCAGACTATTATTGTTTGGACACTTTTAGTCCTTCTCATGATTTTTCTTATTCTTAGTAAGGGCATTTTCGTCTCTTCATATTTTTCTTTTGTTGTTTTTTCAGTTTCAACCAGTTTAATATTTTACAAAAAACTGGTTAAAAAATATAGTTACTAAAAATTATAGGTTACCTAAAGTTCTAAACCAATTAAACCGGTTGAACCGGAAAAAATAACAAAAGAAAAATATGAAAAGACAAAAATGCACTTATTAAAAATATGAAAAGTCATGAGAAGGACTAAAAGTGTCCAAAAATAATTATCTAGGATGTTAAATGATAAAAATAATAGTCTAAGACTAAATTTAGAATAGTTACAAGATAAGAGACCTCTGGTATAATTAACTCTTTTTTAACTGTTGGTAATCACGTTTGGAAAAGTTTGATAAAAAAGAAAACATAATCCTTAGTCTAAAATCAAATCAATCTATCCCAAAAACTTTTGTTGGCTTTTATGTGATTTTAGATAACTATCATATTAGCTTTTAACTAACATTCTTTCCCTTTAATTAGTTTAGTCGTCTCCTCTTTCGTAAAAGGGGAGAAAACGAAAGAAACATTGTTTTCTCAACGGTTGGGGCAGACGACGAGCCGCCGCCGCGTCATGATGAACACAAAGCCGTCATTTGCTATAAACCAATACACAATAACTCAACTTAGAGACTTAATCAAACTTTAAAATAAATAGTATGTATGGATTGGGTGGGTTTGGAAACAAGATTATTTTTTTCCCAGTAATATTGGTTCTGTTACAATGCAATATCTGTTCATAACTATTTTCTCAACGTAATTAAGAAAAATGTTTGTTAATACAAAATTAATAAATATATTGATTAAGTACATATATTATTGTTTATGTTATTGATATATGTTGGTCCAATGTTGTTTAGTATGGATAAAACTTGTCTCTAAATCAAGGAGCCTATTTTTGAGGAGTTAAGAATGAGTCCTTAGCTTGTTGAGCTAGAAGAAGATGCAATATTTTCTCACAAATGAGTGGATGAAAAGAGATAAAGATTCTAGCCATATTTTCCTTTCCCTACCTGGAGATGGGTCATCTACAAAGTCTATTATTGTGTATGTCTGATGACTATAAATAGGGGTTCTGTAATAAGGGAAAATTGAAGTTTCAGGGAATTAAAATACAGACTTTTATTCACAAAGATATGTAAGGAATTGAAACTTCAAGCAAAGGAATAGATTGGGGTACTATTGGAGAAGATGATCCACTTGATATTAGTATAAGGTGTGTGAAAATTTAGGTCGATATACAATTTATGTAATTGTCGTATTAGTTCAAATTGTATCTTGAAACTTTCTTACTGAGTAACTGTATAAGGTTGATGTTAAAAATAAGTGGTAGACTTAGTTTTTGTAAATCATTTGAATCTTGTACTTGTAAAAACGTTGGTTGATCTCCGGTGGAAAGTTTTGGACGTGACCCGCCCGCGGATTAGGAAGTGTACTCTAACTGCGTTATCAAATTTCAATAATGTTATGTTCGTTTGTTTATTTATTGCGTTATAGAGTGTTTAAAATATTTACCGGAGTAATTGCTCTTATTGATACTCTGATTGATTTCAGTATATAATTATATGTTCAATATATATTTATGCATTACATTGTTTCAATGTTTTGTAAAAATGATTTTTAGAAAATAATTTGTTTTTAAAAAATAAACATTTCATTTTCTCATGCATGTTTGGCCAAAAGCCATCGAACAATCTGTATAATTCATTTTTAAAAACATGAAAATAAATATATTACTAAGTTATTTCTTATAAAAAAAATATTAATTATTTAATAAAGATAATAATAATTATTTATATTAAAATAAATTATAAATAAAATTCATAATAGTTATAAAAATTAAAAATAATTATGATAAAAAGATGTAAATTAATAGTTTTTAATTTGTAACTTATTATTTTTTTGAAAACATTTGTAACTTATTATAATAAAAATAAATCAAATTTTTTAAAATATAATAATTCTAAATTAGAGAAATTGAAGAAAATATTTTACTTTTTTTTTTTTATTGTAAGATGTGGGTTAGGCCAAGTTGGGATATGATTTTTATTTTTGGCTCCGTCGACTGGGGCGGACTCAGTGTGGTGGCAGCTGCCCCCACTCTCCTCACCCCACCCCTTTATATATATGTATGTATATGTATACATATATAGCATGAAATGTTAATAAAATCTATATTTATGTTGATAATATCAATAGTTTGAGTATCTTTGTTGGTTGAACTCTAAATTTTATGTTATAAAAGGTTTATGTCATGGGTTCAAATCTCATTAGCAACAGTTTTAATTATCTTCTCTCTTTCATTTTTTCACAAGATAAATTAAATATTTTTAGTCTACTTTTTTATGGATCATTTAATTAACAAATTAAATGCTCTTTTAGTCTAGTTTTTATAAATCATTTAATTAATGTAGTATACAAGTTTATAATATACTTTATCATATTCGAATTAATTTAGAAAAATTAATCTAACTAAAAGAAATTAAAATTTAAAAGTATTTATAATTATATTGTTATTCAAATTATTTTATCCAATTGATTATGTTTCATATTTTCTCATAAATATATTGTAATTTATAATGTATTTTGTATTTTAACCTTATTATGGTTGTTTGATATTTTGTCATTGACATTTCTAACGTCATTTAATATTCGCCCCCACTCAGATGATTTTCTGGATCCGCCATTATCCGTCGAGTTCAACTCATATTTAAATTGAAATTGATAAATGTAACAACTTCTAACCAAAAATATATATATTTTTAAAAACTTTTTTGGGTTGTATGCCAGACCAAAATTATTATTATTTGGCTTAGTACAACTCAATTCATATTTTAACCAATGATGGATAATGTAATAACTTTAAATTAAAAAAATTGAAGAAAAAAAGTTAAATATTTTTCAATCTTTCGAGTTATGTGTCGAGTCAGGTCAAGATTTTTATTGTTTGGTCCAACTTGACTATTCTCATATTTTAACCGGAGTATGTAGTTCACTCTAGTTCAAATAAGTACTACACATATGACGAGCTAACCTGTCCATTTGAAACCACTTAAAGGGTGAGAGAAAGAGAAATGAGCATGAGATAGGAATTTAAAAAATGTCTTTTAAAATCTTGGAACACAGTTTTCACTAAAATGAGTTTTTTTTTTTACCAGAATGAGTATTTTTTGTTGACTTCATTTTGCGTTAATAATCAAACCTTGAAAACTTTGAAAAAAAAAATTCCACATTTTTAGGTTTCCAAACCAACTCTAAATATTATTTTTTACATATTTAACTATATTAATACTTTGTGCCAACCACAATAGCCTTGGCAAATAGGAGAGTAGATGTGACCCTAGCCTGCCCTATGTGTCTTGATTTTAATGAGGATGTTATGCACTGCTTGATAGAATGTCAATATGCCTGTCGTGTATGGAATGAATCTTGCCTTGATATAACCTCTGTGCTTGGTGGATCGTTTGTTGAGTGGTTTCAGAATGCAATGACTGTGCTAACAATGGATAATCTTATTAAAATTATCTGCAAGTTGATCTTTGGTAGAGATAAAGTTGACTTGAATCTCTTCTTTGGCAACTGTGACTCTCACAAAATGATAGTCAATCTCAACATGCTTAGTGCGAGCATAAAAAATAGGATTAGCACACAGATATGTAGCACCAAGATTATCACACCATAGTTTTGGAACAGATATCCCAGTGACGCCGATTTCACGCAATAGGGAGAGAATCCAAATTACTGCAGCACAAACATCAGCTAAACCCTTGTATTCAACCTCCGTGGAGGATCTTGCCACAGTTCTTTGCTTTTTGCACACCCAAGATACAAGATTTGACCCAAGAAACACAGCATACCCACTGGCTAACTTACGATCGTCATGGCAGCCAGCCCAGTTTGAGTCAGAGAAGACATGTAGTTCTCTGGATGCAGATTTTCGGATACACAAACCATAAGATAGAGTCCCTTTGACATACCTCAACACACGCTTTGCTTGTTCCCAATGGGTTACCGTAGGAGCATGCATGTGTTAACAAAGTTGATTGACTGCAAAAGATAAATCTGGTTTGGTGATGGTGAAATACTGAAGGGCTCCAGCCAGACTTCGATATTGTGTAGGATCATCATATAAATCTGTAGAGTGAGAAAGAGATTTCGAAACAGGAATTGGAGTAGATAGAGGTTTACAATCAGACATACCAGCACGTTTCAAAATATCCAGCATATATCGTTGTTGAGATAAAAGTATTCTAGCATTGCAATTAATGGTTTCAATACTAAGAAAGAAACCTAGTTCACCAAGATCCATAATCTTGAAAGTAGCAGATAATTTAGTTAAGAAATAACTTACAAGAGTCGGATTACTGCCCATTACCAGAATGTCATCAACAGAGACAAGAAGATAGACATAAGTGGAATTTTAGGAGTAATAAAATAGTGATACATCTGTTTTCGATGCCTGGAACCCAACAGATAATAAAAGGGCATGAAGACGCTTAAACCAGGCTCTTGGGGCATGTTTCAACCCATACAATGATCTCTTTAACAAGTAGGATCAGGAAATTGAGCATCAATATATCCAGGTGGTTGTCGCATGTAAACAGTTTCAGTCAAATTCCCATTAAGAAAAGCATTATGAACATCTAGTTGTCTCACAGTCCAACCAGAAGATGTAGCCAAAGAGAGAAGTAACCTGACAGTGGTGGGTTTTACAACTGGACTGAACGTGTTAAAAAAATCTTGACCGGGAACCTGATTAAACCCTTTGCGACCAACCTGGCTTTGTATCTCTCAGTTGAACCATCTACTTTCCTTTTGGTTCGAAAAACCCATTTACATCCAATCACATTTTGATCATGTTTAGACGGAACCAGACACCATGTCTGATTCTGTAACAAGGCATTAAATGTGATGCCCGATCGCCAAGGGCATAACTTCATCAGATAAAGAGGACATGAGCATGGAGAGGAGTGTTTGATCCTGACGAACCCATGCGGAGCGGTCAGGGTTCGGGCACGGCAACGCCCCTTCCTCACCGGTCTAAATCGTGGCCGGTGGACAAGGGTTTGATCCGTCAATGAAACCCATTAGATCATGTCCGTTGAGAAAATGAACAACCTGAGCTCGCCAGAATAGGAAGTTCCGATAAGTCAGCTTGAAGCTGATAAAGTGGTGAGCGGTGGACAGGGTGGTCATGGTGGCAGTGATCGATGAGATAGCAGCATTGGAAACGGTCTATTCGGAGGAATTGACTGAACCGTCGGCCATGGGAAATAAACCCTAGCTAGATGATATCAGATGAGAACTGTAATGAATTGTATTAACAGTAATGGTTTACAAGAGTACATGACCTAGGTATATATACAAGAGGTAGATAGAGAGAGACTATGATTGGGAATCATAAGTAGACTCAGATACATAGATAGAGTCCTAATAGTTTGAAACGTTAACCTAGCTAACCATTCGAAAGGACTACCGAAGACATTCTCTGAGCATATAGTTCGAAACCTTAAAATCTTAGGTGAATGTGTCCAAGACAAAGTGTGTCCTGGAACACATCCCAATGAAAATTTTTCTTTAAAAGCCAAGACAACTTGTGCGGAACAGAAAGATATGTTCATCGCAAAATGAGTCACTAACGGCTAAAAAATCTGACAACTCACCTACCCTCTGAATTACCTGTTAGTCTTTACTCACTGGTTAATAGCCGTTAGAAATTAGTTTCCCTCCAACGGACCTTTTTCAATATGCCTATAAATACATTCTCTCAAAGAGATAAAATGTTGATCAGTTTCTAAGAGCATTCCAAGTATTCAAAGCTTTCAAGTGTTTCACATCTAGTGACCAGTAAGAAAGAGAGAAAAAGCTCCAAAGTTCAAATCCAGAATTCAAGAGACTTGTGTTGCTTTCATTGTGAAGATCAAGATATTTTCAAGCCAAGATCTCTTTGTTGGAGGAATAAGAATTTTTTTCTTCTAACTTTGTAATCTCTACTTGGTAGTAGTAGAAAAAAGCGGAGTAGACTAGTTATAGTTGAAAAGCCCGGTGGAGTTCAAGGCTTAAAGTCCTCATTGTACTAAGGGATTGTGCAACCCTCCTTAGGAATTCCAAATAGAAGAGTGGAATAGGTTGTGTTGGCAGAACCACTATATATATATATATATATATATATATATATATATATATATATATATATATATATATTGCATTTTATCAAAAGCAAACTTAACATTCTCAAAGAACAAACTTACGTGCAAACTAGTTTAAAAAGGGTTAACATATTTTCTACTATGCATACTTACGAGAGGTTAAATCCACCTCCCGAGAAATTTAACGAATCGTAAAAGTTTTTAAAGAGTTTTACAAATCTATTCACCTCCCTTTAGACTTGTACCCTAACCCCACCGGGACCAATAAGTGGTATCAGAGCAAGTTACCTTGATCGGTAAACACTCTGTGTGTACTGCCTGGTGATCTCAGTTCAAAATCAAAATATTTGTATATGTAATTTTTCTTTTTAAAATGGATCATCACATGTCCAAGAACCTTATATTTAACATGAATAAATTTAACGATTAGAAGGTTCAGATGCAGGCACACTTGTCTGCTTTCTATGATGAGATGTGTGAGGTCATCACTGAAGGTCCAGTCTAGATTATGATGGTTAATGCTCATGCAGCAATACAAGGACTAGATGCTCCAGAATACGTTCCTAAGCTTAGGCACGCATGGATATCTAAAGATAGGATGAGTAATAACCTGGACAATATAGCTAATGATATATTATTCAAAATGGTTGATGAAACTCTCTTCTTGAGGATTAGAAAATGTAAAATGGCTAAGGACATTTGGAATATTCTCATACAGATTTTGGAGAAGGTGATGAGCATGAGAAGGAAAACAAGCGCACCATAGCCATGAAAAAAAATTGAGGATTTCCGAATGGTTACTAACAAAACCATAGTCAAGATGGAAACTCGGTTCATGAAGTTGTTGAGTGAAGTAGCTGACCTTGGCAAGGAGCTATCTCAAAAGGAGATAAACTTGAAGATTCTTTGAGGACTTTTCAAGTCATGGGAGATGAAGATCATTTCCATGAGGGATCATTTCGATCACAAAGCAATTCAAACTTCACAAATATTTAGCGACCTCAAAGCACACGAGTTCGAGAGGGAATCTAAACAAGAAGATGACAAATCGAAGAACATTGTGTTGGTGGCTGACCAACAACCACCAACATCTTCGAGGTCTAACTCTATTTCCCTAGTGATTTTTTAACTGATGAACAAATTGTTATGTTTGTCAGGAAGTTCAAGCGATTCATGAGAAAGAATAATATTCAAGGAACTCCATCCACAACATCTTCTTCAAACCGAAGACCCTTTGAGAGGTCAAGTGTCTCGAAGATTAAAGGCTCCGAGGAGTTGCAGATCTTGTGCTACAACTACCGAAAACCATGGCACTACAAGATGGACTGTCCGTATCCAGTTGTCCGGAAGCATCAAGACCAACCAAGGAGCTCGAGCAATAAGAATGATCCGAGCAATGCTCCTGGAGAGTCGAGTGGTTGAGGCTCACACAACCACTCGAACAGTCACTCGAAAGGTGATAGGAGGAGAAAGGCATTAGTGACCGAAGAGTCAGCCGAGAAGGTAATCAATGATTCGTGCTCCTCTAGTTCAAGCTCAGAGAGCGAAGGCTCAGAAGATGAGAAGGGACTCATCTGTCTCTTTAGCTAACAACAATATGAAGAACTTTAATGGATAAGGATGATGAAGTAACTTCTCAAACCTCAACTGAATGTTAATCAAATTTTAGCCTCAATGAAAATCCTATGGATTCAGATTTTAAACTGATGGAGGACTTCAAAAATTTAAAGAGCACTCAATCTAAGCTGAAAGAAGATAATGCTCGACTCATGGACAAAATTTAAAAGCATTGTGCTTAAGAACTCAAAATGATAAGCATAATTGGCTAGTTCGAGAAGCAAATTCTCTTACTCAGGGAAGAGTGGAAAGCAAGAGAAGTGCGAGAGCATAAATTGCGTGAGGTGATAGCTACCTTTACTAATTCATCCAAACTAATGGATCAAATGGTAGGAGAACAAAGGCCTATTAGTGACAAAGTCGGACTCAGTTTTGATCCAAGCTTTCAAGCACATTTAAAGCTGACCAAACCATCAGATCCTTTAACTAGTAGAGGTTTAATCTGTATTTGTCAAAGGTCAAAGCTTGTTGCCTGGACCTACTAGAGTAACGGATAAAGTCAATGCACCACAAACTAGTAGTCAACCGAAAGGTGACACTATTCGAAAAGTTGTGAAACTCTCGGAAAGTAAACTTTGACAGGTAACCCGAAAGGTGCTCAAAACACTATTCGGAATAAACCTAGTAATGGTGAACCGAATGGTCAATCCACGAATGGTCAGCCTAACAAGAGTAACCATTCAAAGTATAAGCCTAATAACTACTCAGGTTACTACTAACCATTCGTAAAATAGACCGAATCGTTATCCGAATGATAAACCCTAAAGGTTCGATAAACCTAAGAGGTCATCTAGAAGACCTATGAAGGGCGCATGAAGGTTTTTTCCTTCTAATGAGTGTGTGTAAACATTAAGCTCAACACAAATGTAAAGATAATAGGGTAAATAGTGATTCAGTCAAGATTTTATAGTGGTTCGGGTTAACCCTACTCCACTTTTCTCCTTAACACATAAGGTTTCACTAGTATACAAGTGAATCTCTTAGCCTTTTACACTAGTTGCAAACCAAGCCATCTAGGTTACTTGCTACACTTCTAGTGAGTGATCTTTCAAACGGTTTTCAACACCAAGTTGCACGTTCTTCACTGTCTGACTGCTTTTTTTAAGGGTTGTCCACCAAATTGCCCTGAAAAAAGTCTGCCAAAGTCCTTGAGATAAGGAGTAATAGTCTTGAAGACTAAACTCGACATAATAATAAAAGATTCTTGAAGTGTTAGATCTCTTAAGAATGGTTGAGTACTTGCTGAGTTTTCTCTTAGAAGATTTCTTAGCTTTCATAATCTCTTAAGTTCGTAACTTTTTCATGCTTAAAGAGTGACTCTTTATATAGAACTAAAGGTTTGGAAATTTTGAACGTTTGAAATTTTTCAATTGGTGCCTCCATGTTAGGCGAAGGCCTAAAGGGGCTATGTTTAACATCATGACATCGAAATATGGTGCTAACAGCTACACAAGTATAAAGAAATAAAGTTGTGCCTTTCTACTAGCTATAACTTTTAGCATAGAAGGAAATACTTGATCCTAACAATTGGTATCAAAGCAGGTCACGGGTTCAAATCCCTGTGAGAGTAGCAAGGGTTATCCTATGAAAAAACTGTGTAGTTGAG